ACCATGATGGTCTTGTGGTTGGTGGCTCGGAGAGTGCGGATGGCACGGACAGAGCACCAATCGAACTCGACAGACGAACCGATTCGGTAGACACCAGAACCGAGAACCATGACGCCGTGGTCTTCAAAGTCGACATCGTGCTCGGATGCGTTGTAGGTCAGGTACAGGTAGTTGGTGAAGGCAGGGAACTCGGCAGCGACCGTATCAATCTGCTTCACATAGGGCTGGATGCCAGCCTCGAGCCTGAGGCGTCGGACAGCGATTTCGTTGGAGCTCCAGAACTTGGCCAGCTGTCGATCGCAGAAACCCAGACGCTTGGCCTGGAGAAGGAGGCTGGGGCTCCGTGCAATATCGGCGGTAGTGTACTGAGTCATTTGCTTGGAGAAGTCGCTCAGTCCCTTGAGCTTTCGGAGGAACCACTTGTCGATTCGGGTCATCTCCCAAATCTTGTCGACAGAATAGCCCTGGTGCATGGCGTTGGCAATAGCAAACAGGCGCTGGTCGGAGGGCGTCTGCAGCTCGTCATCGATGCTCATAAGAGCCTTGGTCTCTCCGAAGCCAAGGTTGTGGAAGTCGATGGCTCGGATGGCCTTTTGGATAGCTTCCTCAAACGAGCGACCAATGCTCATGACTTCACCAACACTCTTCATGGAGGAGCCGAGTTGAGTGGAGACACGAGTGAACTTCTTCAAGTCCCATCTCGGCATCTTGACGACGACATAGTCGAGAGAAGGCTCGAAGCAGGCGCAGGTAACCTTGGTGACCGAGTTGGAAATCTCCTTGAGGGGGATTCCAAGACCCAGCTTGGCGGCGATGAAGGCCAAGGGATAACCTGTGGCCTTGGAGGCCAAGGCGGAGGATCGGGACAATCGAGCGTTGACCTCAATGATGCAGTACTCCCGGGAGAAGGGGTTCAGGGCATACTGAATGTTACACTCACCAACAACGCCAAGGTGTCGAATGACGTTGACGGCCGTTGTTCGGAGCATGTTGTAGTCCTCATCCGAGAGGGTCTGAGAGGGAGCAACCACAATGGAATCACCGGTGTGAATACCGAGAGGGTCAAAGTTCTCCATGTTACAGACAGTAATGCAGTTGTCCTGGGCATCTCGAACAACCTCGTATTCGATTTCTTTCCAGCCCTTCATACTTCGCTCAATCAGGACCTGAGGACTGGCGGCGAAAGCCTTGTGGCAGAGCTCCAGCAGCTCATCCTCGTTGTTGGCGAAACCACTTCCCAGACCACCCAGGGCATAAGCAGCACGGACAATGACGGGGAAACCAATGTCCTTGACGACATGGAGAGCTTCCTCCACGTTGCTGGCTGAGGCTGACTTGGCACACTTTTCGCCAATGGAGTCCATGCTTCGAGCAAAGAGCTCTCGGTCCTCGGTAGTGATGATGGTGTCGATAGGTGTACCCAAAACCTTGACACCGAGGCTCTCAAATTCGTCCTTCAGCTGGATACCAACCTGCAGGGCAGTCTGACCACCAAAAGTGACATAGATGGCATCTGGTCGCTCATACAGGATAACCTTGCGGACGAACTCGGCGTTGACAGGGAGGAAGTAGACCTTGTCGGCCAAGCCCTTGGAGGTTTGAATGGTGGCGATGTTGGGGTTGATGAGGACGGTGTAGATGCCTTCCTCCTTAAGCGCCTTGATGGCCTGGCTACCAGAGTAGTCGAACTCGCCAGCTTGGCCAATGCTGAGACCGCCACTGCCAAGAACAAGGACCTTCTTGACGGAAACGCGAGGGTGAAGCCTCTCGTTTTCCTCAATGGTTCCGCCAGGGAAAGTGACGGGAGCCTGCAGAAGAGCAGGGTTCTCAGCACAGCTAGCCATGGTGTCAATGAAGACATCAAAGAGATACTCGGTGTCACGAGGACCCGGTGTGCTCTCAGGGTGGAACTGGACACTGAAGTATGGCTTCTCAACGTGCATGATACCCTCGTTGCTGCCATCGTTGGCGTTGACGAAGAGCTCTTTCCAGCCGGTGGGCAGGCTGGCGGTATCCACAGCGAAACCGTGGTTCTGAGAAGTGATGTGGCACTTTCCAGTGACCATGCTTGTGCAAGGGATGTTGTGACCACGGTTACCAAACTTCATCTTGGTGGTCTTTGCGCCAGAAGCGCGGGCCATGAGCTGATGACCCAAGCAAATGCCGAAGATGGGGATCTTGTTCTTCTCCATGACGGCCGCAATGTTCTTGGCGGTGCTCTCAAGCACGGCTGGGTCACCAGGGCCGTTGGAGATGAAGAGACCGTCGTACTCCTCACCGGCGGCCTTGGCCAGATCATAGTCCCAGGGGCAGACTACGACTTCGACACCTCGCTTGAGGAAGCATCGAAGCTGGTTGTACTTCATACCAACATCGACACACAGAACACGGATTGTCCGGCCGGAAGGATGCTTGCGAGCAACAACGGACGCGGGCGGCTTATACAGCTTGGGTTCCTTAACGGATACTACGAAAGGCATGAGCATATTGTCTCTTTGTGGGTTTTTTTATCTAGCAAAAAGGGAAGCAGATGGGGGAACTCACCCTGTGCCACCAAGTTCTGTGTATTGGGGTTCACCCAGTCAATTGCCTCGAACTCGTCGAGAGAGGCCAGGCCGTTGGCGGCGCCGTTGCTGGAAGCAGCGATGCTGGCAAGTCTCATCTTACCCAGCATGCTACCCTTTTCACGAATCCTCTTGGTCAAGGCTCTGGTGTCGACGCCATACATGGCGGGGACGCCCTGCTCCTTGAGCCATGTGCCCAGGGAGGAGGTAGCGAGGAAGTGGGAGAAGTCCTCGCCGCAGTAGGAAGCGGTAACAAGACCGGCAATGTGAATCTGGGACGACTCAAAGTGGGCAGGCAGGTCGCCGAGCAGCTCATCCAGCGTCTCCCGCGAAGGGACACCGTAGTTTCCGACCAGGGGAAAGGTGATGACGAGGATCTGGCCGCGGTAAGAGGGATCTGTGATGGACTCGGGGTAGCCCACCATGCCGGTCTGGAAGACCAGCTCTCCGGCGATGCTCTTCTCAGCACCGAAGCTGTAACCTTGGTAGGTTGAGCCATCCTCGAGCTCAAGGCAGACGAGGCGCTCGTTGCTGCCGTAGCTGGCCGAGGCGGGCTTGAGGAGCTGGACAGCCATGGTTTTTGGTGCAGATTTTTCTGTTCTTTTCCTCTTTTGTGTGATTGAGGTTCAGCAGAAACAGACTCCCGACTTTTCGTCGTCTAACAAGCTTTTTCTTCTGCTGTCTTGTTTCTGACGATACCCAAGGCGGGGCAAAGATGGTGATGAAAGAGAGAGTGAGGGGTGCTGGCGACTGACACGAAAAACTCGTTCTCAGAGCTTCTCCCGGGTTGTCAAAAGCTATCTTGCTGTCATCTGCTTCCTCAACAATCACAAGGCGTCCTTCAGAGAGTAGGGAGAGAAAGAAAGAAGCTTGAAGGGTTGCCTGGCCGTAGTTGAGGAAGAGGAAGAAGGAAAGAAGGAAGAGAAAAAATCTCAGACAGCGGAATTGACACCAACTTATTTTTTTTTTTTTTTTTCTCTTGCCAATCAATACCATCATCAAGCCATGACTGGCGCGGATTAGCTTCAGCGGCAGCGCATCACTATTGGCCAATGCAGTTGAGATCACAGCGCCCGTTCCACCGCCACCAGCGAGATGGGCCAATGGCAGCGCTGCTTTGGGGTCTCTAGATTGCCTATGATGGATGTTTGCAGGCGTTTGCGTGGTATTCCTTCAGAGCCCACCCACTAAATGGACCGCTAGATGGACCCCGCAGCGGCCCTGGGACCCCCAAAAAAGTAAGAAATGGAAAAAAAAAAAAAAAAAAACTTGATGAGATTGGCCCCTCCATCGGTGATGGACTTCATTGTCTTGTCCTTGTTTATACGAGATACGATGCAACTACAGGCGTACGAACAAGCTTGAGGCAAACGGTAATACAATAGGGGAGAGGAGAGACAAGCCGTAGAACAAAGATATCCCAAGATTGGCGTTGAACGAGCGCGGGTGAAGCAGAAAACAAGCTCTCCAGGTGTCACGAGACTCTTCATCTACCAAACGCACATGTTACCACCACCATCTACTCTGTGGAGCTCCCATCCAAACGCCTCCGCAGATCTTTTTTTTTCTTCCTTTTTTTTCACCATGTGGATCACGGCAAGCCAAAAAAAAGATGGTTGGGGGACGAGCATCTTGACTTATTCTTATCTCGCCTAGTCGGGGCCGTAGGTAAGCGGTTATGATGTGTAATTGTCTGTTGTACAAGATATTGTCAACTTGAAGCTTGGCAAGTTATGGCTACTAGTGTTGAGTTTAGCCTGTAAATTTCTTCCATCTTGGAAGAGAACTGTCGTCAAGGATGGCCTACACCGGCGCTTCTACGGAGATTGAATGCCACATGAATACTTGTATGCTGCCGCTAACCAGTACATGTAGTTACTCTGACGAGAACCTCATTCAGCCAGCAATTCGGCCATGGAGAGATTTAATTACTGTATGTCATCTGTTTAACCGTGTACTGCGGGAATTATGTCTACTGTACATTCTCTAGTCACTATATCTAAAAACAGAACGTCACTGGCGCTCCCGTAATGCAAACCATGACGATCTACCTGTAGATACGCGTAATTGTCACGGCAGCCAAGGGCGATAGGGGTGGACAGCCAAGGAAAGATTCTGTATGCATCCCTATTCCTAAAGTCTCGGTGCTGGAAGTGAAAACTCACGTCGGTGCCCCATTTACGCTGGACATATGGATGGCACATAAAGTATTGACTCCGATGGATTCTTGGAGACTATAAGTTGGTAAGGACAGTTGAAGTTCCAAAGCTGCAATATATTGACAAACGACTACTTGTCAGGACAGATGCTTGGTACTATCGGTATATGTAGGTTGGTGTAGATTTCTTTTGATGTGACCTTCTTCCGACAGGTGAATGTTTTCTTCTCCTTGTCATGGCAACAAGGCCACAGCCAAAAAGAAGGAGTGCTGTGAAAATGAGCTCACTGAAAAATTGCAGAGAAAGGAATTGGCTACAGGTACCTACCCTTGGAGGTCTACCGAGCGTCGAAGATTGTACACTGCAGGTGTCTACATGTACGTACATGTCACAGGTACCAAGGTCAGGTCAGTTAGGTATCGACGTCAGCGAAGAGGAAAGATCGGACGACGAACCAGCAGAGGTCTCACTAGACGACGTCCGTCCGACACGAAACGATGCAGGACTGCTGTTGGAGCTTCAGCAGTTTGAACACCCGTTCGCTAGACTGAGAAGCCCGTCACCTACACCACCCATCAGAATGACAAAGTTGCGCCAAATCACAAGGCAGGAAGTGCTGGATCAAATGAGCGAACTGGTGGATAAAGCGACACTGAACAAATGGGACGATGAGACGAACGCCAAGCTCGTTGCGACATTGACTGAGCAAATGGTTGCGGTGATGCCCGAGGAAATGAAGAACCGGTTGAAGATGCTGGCAAGACAGATGGACTATGAAAGCATCCAGGGCTGGCTGGAGAAAGCCGGAGACAAGACGATCGAGAAATGGACGGAGGTGGACAGTTGATTAATCGTACAAGATCTACCGAGTGCCTAACATATATCTATCTACCTGGTAGACCTACGAGGGCGACAAGCAAAAGCCATCAATTTTATACAAGATAGGTCCACATCGTGTATCATTCCAGTAGCACCTTCAACTCCACGTCCTCACCATCATGGCCTCGCATGCGCCGGTATCTGTGAATCTCTACTGCCCAAAGGAGTACTAACAGCATGAAGCACATGACTAAATAACCTATTGTCCCTAATAGGATCTCTTGTCTAACGGACTTGAAAACTACCCAGCAAATTGCAAACGCGGCAAGCGGTAATCCAAAGGTGAAAAATATAAGCGCAAACGCAAAGGCGTCCTGAGCCGCTAGGCGAGGAGGGCCGGGCAAGAAGTAGCCGAACCGGTCAGGAATATGCAAAACGCGCGATTGGATATGGTAGCAGCGTGCCGCCATTTCAACGTAGACGGGGTTTGGCTGGTTCCTTGTTATCGCGGGGCTAAACATTGCCTTGATGGTGTCCATGGCACTCAGGGCATTGCCCGAAGGTGTAGAAACTTCAACGGATGTGTCTTCTGGCAGTGGGTTAGCGAGTTGCTCTAGTGGAAAGAAAGGGCACCTGTTGAGGGCAATTGTAGTTTCTCTTATCGTACCAGAAGAATGCATGGTGGTTTCTCTTATCGTACCGTAATAATTCATCGTAGATGCAGCTGGTGAGAGCAGGGAAATGTTCAGGGAGATGATTGTGTATGTGAATTTATGGAGGACAACTGCCCTGCTTATACCGGTGGACAGCACGCTTTAAATATGGACGAATGAAAGTATAATAAGGTATCCGGATAATTCCACTCAAATATTAACCTTGCACAAAGCATTGTTTGAGGCTTTTAATTAAAGTATAATATCCTGGCAGGACTTACACGTCCCTACATAGGTACCTAGGTAGTCACACAAGCCTGCCCTGGACAAGAGACATTTACTAAATCACATCCACATACTCGACGTCAGCAACATGGACAGATTAGGCGCACTTCACACGGAGCAAGATTTAGAAAGAAAATGTTACTAGCCTTGGCTGTTCCACTTGCTGCTACTAGCAATATGACAGAATCCGATGGATCAAGGCAGGTAGTAATTATTATAATCATTACTATTTATACTTGGGCTGCTAGATGCCACTCATTGTAGATTTTTAGATACATGTATCTATTGAACCAAGATATGTGTATATCAGATACCAGGCCTTGTATGATGGCCATCGTCGCGACAAAAAATGCATTTCCAGAACTATACATACAGCATTACCGGTAACCTCCATTGACCTCCCCAAACATAGCCCGCCTCGCGCAATTCGCGTCTCTGAAAATATGCATTTACAAGCATCAGGCTTATGAGGCAGGCAGAATTCATGAGGGTAAATACCGATACCGCCTCCGGAAAACGCACTCTAAAAAGGTCCGTCAAGAGCATGAGAAGCAACACAATGATATCGCTGGCTAAGAGAATGAAGAGCACAACCCTAAGCCAGAACAACCGCCTAATAGTAGGACTGGGCGAGGACCATGGAAACTGCCAGCGACGCCTCATACGACGCTGTGGGAGACCTTGGGGTTCCGACGTGCCAGTTCTTCCGAAGAAGGCGTATATTCTATTCATGATCGACATGATGCTTAGAATATTCTTGGTGAGTCTCGAAGTTTCGTCACCTGTGCCTTCGTGGGAAAAGTCAGCGGATTGCTCAGGTGGAAATGCTGATCGTTGAGGGTAGTCATACGTGTACTGTATCTCTCAACCTCGAGTGGAAGCGGCTGCGCGGTATATGTGGTTGGCGATTATGGAGAGATACCTGAGGAGATAGTAGGGTGGAAATTTATGAAAGATGAAAATTGTACTCGTCTCTGTTGGGGGATTTCACCTCTTTTATATTTGGGGATAAGAGTATAGGACAGAATGTTTATACGAGTATGGAGTAATTTACCTATCGCAGCTGAAAGTAAGTCGGCCCTATTTTGACACGTATGCGACTGCTATCTAGTACTTTTGTAGATTACGAGATCCAAGACCAGATTCTAACTTATTGTTCTTTCTCTTAAAGTTTGGTATGGGGACGAGAGTACGCGTTCGAAAACTTAGTACTGGGGGGGGAGTTTCAGCCCAAAAGGCGGGTACATTTGGCAACCAGTTGCCAGCTCATCGTTTACCAATCGCACGATCCCCGGGTATATGTATTGCCATTCTTGTTCCAAGGTCTCTTTGGATTGTAGAATAGCTGCGAGGCATTCCAACCTACCTAGGTATCTATGACGGTTTGTACCGTTTATGGGCACCCAAGGACCAAGCCAGTCGCGACGACAAATGTGGTCGAGGCGAACATCTTCACCATCATCTTGTTTAGAACAAATGAAATAGTTCTATATGCTATACTACCTATATCTGTCTTCTAATCTTCAACCTAAAAGTAGTCTGGTGATTGGCGGCGGCCAAAAACGGCCACAAGCCAAGAAAAGAATAGCCATACGGGTCGGAATCATCACAATCAGCAGTGATTCGCCAAAAATATTGACTTCTACCAGCTCTACACAATCACACAGCCCGTGATACCCTTCAAACATAACAAGACAAACAAGTAAAACGACCCAAAATGTGACTAAGTTGTTGAGTAGGTAGAAGCTAAATATTATTGCAACAGGAGAAGGATTCGAGTTTAAAGAAAGAGAATCTGCGAGGATATGTATATTTTCGGATCCATTCAATTAACTCTTAAGCCCTGAGTGTTCTTGTCGTCACCAATATCTATATATAGCAGAGTTTGCAGGTCCTTATCTTGAGGCTGAAGTGGCATGGAAGAAGCTCAACTTGAAACTTACAAGTATACGTTGTTTTTCGAAGGCCCACCAGGAAGAGGAGCTAAAGACTTAGCGTGGCGCTAGTAGATCTGCACTCCAGATCGGGTTGCGCACATACATCTGATAAGGCGAAGATTAGATGAAGTGGGAGCATTGATCAGCCATTGAAAGGAAATAGGAGAAGTACCAAAGTATTAGGAGTGCTTGAGTTATCAAATGTCGCACGGAAATCGTACTGAAGTCGTTACGAATATATATACGAACCGCCAGTTCAAGAGCAGTAATGGGCGTTCAAAGATGGAGCTGGCAAGGCATGGCCAAAGAATAAATCATCTTCACATGGCCAGCTGCTCGTCAAACGCTGTGAACGAGTTATACAAGTACTAGCTAGTGTATAAGAAATAGATAGGTACAGCTAATCTAAGCAAGCATGCCTCCCGAGAGAGTTTCGTCATTTTATGCTTCATGAGTGTATGCATCTCCAAGCAACATCGCTGCCATGCGGTCCCCAAATCCAAACTGAGGAAACGAAATACCAAGTGGTATCATATAACCAAGTAACCGAAATCAAGCCTCTATGTCGAAAACGCCAACAGGATAGCGGGAATCGCAGGCCCGCTTTCCCTTCCTCGCTATTCCTGTTCTTCCATTACACCAACAACATGCCACATCACGCACAGAGTGAAGCGCCTGTTCAACATCCTATTACTGCAGAGCCAAGTTGGGCTGTAAATTCATTGGCGGGCCAGGCATGTTCGGCAGCTGGGGTGTTCTCTGGGCGGCGGGACTGGCTTGTTGGCTCGGTGCCATTGGGTTGCCAGGCTTCTGGCCAGAGGGTGCCGTGCGGAAAGCTGGTTCCTTCTTCGGGTCGAATGTGGGGAAAACAGCTTGTAATCGTCGATATAGGTCCATGATCGACTTATTCCGCTCTTCCCTGTCCACTACAGGATCTGGAGGCGTAGCTGAGTTCTCGGCGCCAATCGGGACTCCTCTTGGCCGAAGAGTCAGATTCAGGGGAGGCGCGCTAAGATATGCTGGACAGGGCGGTCCCTTGACTTCTGGCTTCCTGTCTGCCAGTGCAGCCATGTAGGACAGATTGGCTTGTAAACGTCGCATGCAACTACGAATCATTAGTGTTATGTCTTTTTCTTCAGGCTTTTGGCATGCTGAACATACTGCAGATAGTCCTGTTGGAAATGATTCTCCTCCTCGGAAGGTTTCCTGTCTGGGATGTTGCCATTGACAGCAGTAAACTCCTTTTTCAATTCCTGTAGCGTTGTCTGAATCTGAATCGACTCGTATAATAGCTCATGGTTGATGTCCAGCAGCAGGGCGAACCTCTCCTTCTCCAGAGCCTCTGTTGTAGGGCTCATGGGCACCGCGCCCGTCGATGGGCCAGCCATGCCGCCGGCCGGGTTTGAGGAGAAGGTCGGAGTCTGGGGGGTGCCCAATCCCATTGGTTGTTGGCTCGTGGGTGTCTGTCCCTGGGACATGGGCTGGGGAGTCGAGAACTGAGGCTGCTGGGGAGGCATGATGTTCGTCGGCGTTCCTTGGGCTGTGCTCGGGGGTCTCTGCGGGGTCGACACCTGGGCCATCATCTGGTTGGGCTGCTGCTGCGGAACTTGCTGCTGAGGCTGCTGCTGCTGCTGCTGCTGCTGCATCCGTTGCATCATCTGCTGCTGCTGGGGCATGCCTGGCTGGCCCATGGGGAAGCCTGGCATGCCGGGACCCATCATGTAGTTATTCGGAACGAAGCCCTGTGGCCCGACGCCCGTGGGGAGGACTTGGCCGTAGGACGCGCCGGGGAATTGCTGCTGGTAGGCCACTGTTGCTCGCGGGTTAGCGTTAGCACACGCTTCCATGTTCTTTTGGGTTGCCCTGTCGCCTGTCGCGCGACTGCTGCTGCAGGGGAGAGAGAGGGACAGAGAGAGAGAGACGCACTCTGACTGTTCGGCGCCATGCCCGGCATGCCCTGCGACTGCATCATGGCCGCGGCGCTGGCATCGGGCATCATATGCGGGTTCGCTCCAGGAAACCCCCCTTGAGGAGCCATGCCGGCGAATTGCTGCTGGCGGTTGAACATGACCTGCTGGCCCGGCTGCATTCCCGGCTGCGGTGTGCCCGCGGGGTTGTTGAAGTTGGGCGCGGCATTGCCAAAGCCGTAGTTGGCAGAATACATGGCTGGCGATGGATTGCTCCAGATGGCGATGGCGAGGGAGGAATGGCGAAGTGGCGAGACACGGCCGATATGGTCGACAGACGGCTGAGAAGAAGTTGTAGATGGAAAATGGCCTTAGCGGGTCGAGGAGCGCGAAAGTGGCCTAGCCTGTCCTCAATTGCAGTCGCGAAATGACGTGAGATGGCCGCTGCTGGACGAGATGAAGGAAGGACAGGAAACACGCAAAATTAAAATGATAAAGTCAATGCAATGTAATGAATTTTTTCAGAATGAGATGAGAAAAATAAACACGAGGGGATTGCCGGTGTTTATATGTGTATTCTTCGCTGCCCGTGTTTATTTATAGCTATGCGGATGGAGAAGCAAAGTTTTGCTGGCGCTCGGAAAAATGAGACGGCTTGTGCAACATGGACAGGTTATTGGATCTGATGAATTGAGGAGACGGGGTTGCAGCTTCGGGCCGTGCCTCGCTGAATAAGCTGGAGCGCTGTTGAAAGACAGATTGTTGGTGATGGACGAGATTCTCGAGGGTTTGGCTGGGCGATTCTGATGATGTTGGTATCGGGTACAACGGGGCTGGTATCATGTCTAGGCGTATACCAGGTATTTACTACGAAGAGGAATCTATACGGAGCATCTACCATATCTGCTTCATAATGCTCTATTGCTAAGTAATAATCAAATACAACTCTATGAGATTGGGTTCAGGTCCTTTTCATATTCCGGGTTACACAGATACATATACATACTTTGTTTACCACTTGCCAATTGATCAATCAACATGAATACATTCGTCATCATCGTTTCTCATAAGTCCAAGATAGGCATCTCCAAATGCTTCCATTTTCCCAATAAAGTCCGCTCCCTTTTAGCCGGCCCCCATAAATACGACAGCTGAAGTGCGATTATAAATGTCATCAATCCGTGATCAACACAGACACTCAGCGGCATTATGCATCCAGTCACCCGCTTACCCCACGAATAATATCGGCCGCCAGCCAACGTAATCATCGACACAACTTTACTGTCTCGGCCTCAAATGCTGAGTACACATAGAAAGCGCAAGATGGCCATCAAAGCACGTCGTAGCTCTGCCTCCAATCCGATGCCACTCCTTCACCACACTGTCGAGTCATGCTAGTGATAGGTGACACCGTATTTAGACCTTCCATCCAGCAGATTGATGAACTCATCGGCTACGTGTTCGCATGTCCTCTCCGATGGATGCACCTCGTCATACCTAAAATCCCGGGTCAGAATACAGCTTTTGATTCGCTTCATTCAAAATCACTCCACGAGAGCACTCACCACACAAAGTTCGACTGCGGCTCTGACGACTGGAAGCAGCCTGAATCTCCGCATCCCCTCCAGGAACCGGTAATATCGACTGGCTCTGTGTAATACTTGGTTGGGTCCGAACGCAAATCCAGCAGTAGCGAGTGCACGTCCAACAAGCTGACAGTAGCCCCTGGCCAGCGCTTCTTGATGAGTAGGTTATACGGCGCTCCCGTGGTAAACATGGTGTTGGCACTGGTCAAAAACTCTTCCATCTTATACTGAGTGTCCGTGGTGTTGTATGTTGCCTTGTTTCCCCAATACTCATTGTTCCCGGTTCCGCCATTCTCGATAGAGGCATACATTGGGGAGAGTTGCAGTGGCAGTACGTTGAGAAGGACAAACTGCCTGCCTCCCAGTTTGTAAACGCCGTCAAAGGCTTTCCAGACACACTCTACAAAGTCTGTGATGGTAGCGCCATTGACTTGGTTATTGCCCAAGAATCCGTCAATGCCTAGATCATTGGTGCCGATCCACAGCGCGTATACCGTGTTGTCCGGCCTTCGATCCGGATACAATCCCTTGTAGCCAAGATCTGTCTTGAACGCTGGAACCTCGTAATCCAAGATGGACGGGAATGGCCCATTGATGTTGCTGAGGAAATGCTGGGTGACACTATCGGAGCACATGCCGCCAGCAACGGCATAGTCGTAGAGCATTGCCCCCGTCTTTTGCGCCACGAGTCTTGGCCAGGCATAGCCACCTACTGAGGTTGCGTTGTTCACAGGGAGAAGCTGGCCGGGAGGGGGTAAGGCATTGTGGCTGAAGATGTAGTTGAGGCGTCCCTCATCTGTATAACTATCACCGAATGTGACAAGATTGCTCAGCTTTCGCAGGCCGGTTGTACTGGCAGCCGTGACAGCAGCGGCGTATAATAGTAGAGAAAGCATCTTGACTTAGAAGGTGTAGTGTGTTGTGCTGGACTCGAATTGTCAACAGAAACCTTGTAACAACAATTGTCATCATATTTATACATTTATCATGCTCGGTCGACCGGATCCCTTTCATGAGACTTGGACGAATTATTCGGAATTATACATTCAATGCACATCTTTGTAAGAAACATCAACCGACGGTAATTGTTCAATTGTAAGGTCCAAAATAAACAGGCCACCATGGTCAGCCAATCGTGGAAATTTTATCTCCGGCCTATTATATGCCGACATCCCCAGATCCATTGTCCGGCACATCTTCCCCGCATTATCGCCGTCGAGATGGAGACGGCTGCAAAGAAATCACATGCCCAAATACGAGATCCTCCGTTTAACATATTGGGTAGTGTAACAGATGGCCCGTCGCGGCGCAATTTGAGACGTAAATAATGACGAAATCAATATATAAAATTCTCTCCTCGGGTGTAAAACGAAACTCGAATTTCATGAGGGAAATGGAGCAATATTACAAAGACAATCCTTCATCGAACAAGATGCAGAGAAAGCTGTCAGAATTAGTAATTGCCGTCGGCTATAATGCACCGTCTTGTTTACCCCGGATTTCCAAACCTCTTTCCTATTTTGATGGCAGAGTCTCTATGCCGAGCCATCATGATCTCCGAATGATACTCCGAGAATAGTTCATTGGATCGGATAGTAGCAAAAGTGCCTCATTTCAAGATGCTCTTTATTATTCAACTAAATATTATGCAGCCAAAAGTTACGGTCCATAGAGTCGCTAGGCATAGAAAGGAACCTTTGCGAGAATGTATCACATGGTTTGCTGCCGTGTCATCTTTGGCGTGAACTTGCCGACTGAGAACTTCTGCCTAGTCCTAGAACATTATCTTTTCCGAGTCCATAGTATGATGAATACGATGTGGATATGAGGAGTAGTTTCTCTCAATCTTCAAAAAACATTAATCCACAAAACACAACCATTCGTATAATACATCCACCTCACACATCTCTCAAGATGATTGTGAAGCACTGCTAAAATGAGCATTAAACCATTTGATGCACTGCTCAAGTGCATCATCTGCCTGCTTCACAGATTGCGGAAACTTTTGGTCCGCTCGAACGCAGAATCCATGCCCAGTCTCAGGATAGATGGTTACTTCTCCGCGAGCACCTTCGGGCTTCGCTTCAACAATGGCCCTGATAGACTCAGCCTTTTCCACCGAGAGATATTCATCATGCTCGGCCATGGCAAATGACACTGGCAGCTTTAGCTTTTCAATGTCGCTGGGAAGAGTCAAAAGACTCGGATGCCCCGTGAATCCGGCATCAATCAGCGGTCTCCCGTCAATCGTATCTCCGTGACCTAGCAGAATGACTTGCTTGCCACCCCAGCAAAAGCCAGCAGCGCCAACCGGAAGCGAAGCGCCTTCTTCTTTTCGAAGCTGCTCGAAGAAGCCTTTGACTCTAGGCCATGCTCTAGAGGGCCAATTGTAGATGATAAAGGGGAGTACGCCACCTAGAGCGCGGCCCACGTGATAACTACAGGTTGATTCGAGCCAGAGTTAGCAATTGAACATCGGTTTGCTGCATCGTATTCAGCAAGGTACTTGCATTTTAGAGAAGATTCCAGCTGATGATGATAATATTTTCATACTCTCAAGCATATATAGCGGTGCGGCTCGGCCTACAACAATCAGCCTTTCATGTCTCAAACACACTATATGAACCACCAATCGTATATCAACCACGGCTTACCGTCCATGAAATCAGGCGCATACACCTTGAATCCACCCTTGTCGGCATACTGATCCGCAAGAAGCCTTACATTGGCAAAGGACCATCCAAATGCATCTGGAAGAATGACCACAATGCCTTTCGCAGGCTGCCCATTGGCCGGCTCAACAACGTATGTCTCTCGCCCGTAGGCATGAGTAACTTGGCCGCGCGGCTCGCCTTCATGGACAGAGCCGCGGAAACAATCCGGGCATGACATTTTTGGTAGACGTTTTCACTTGTTTTGTAGACTCAGCGGGAGAGGTGGTGAATTGCGAATGGTAGACGGAATCACATGTTGCTGGAGAGGTGAATGTACCATCACGCTATTTGCACGTATTGGGTGAGGGGAAATTCACATGCCCGGAAATAAGGACAGCAAGTCCGGCAGCCGTGAACCGGTAAATTCTGATATTTATATATATATATTTATATATGTATTTATAGCACAATTGCAAAATCATTCACACGCAGAGCATGTCATTGAAAGAAATTGAAACAGCCACAAGCGCGTAACAGCAAGTTAGGGTTTAGACTTGAGTAACTAACACGGAGCGTAAGACCCGTGAGAAGCTCGAGTCTTGGTGCCAACATACTACATGTATTGTGCCCGATAGTAAGCGCATTCCAATCCATCAGCCGCGCTACCCTACACGATGACACAATAATTGATTGCGAATTGATATCTTCCGCTATTCATGGTATCAGAACTAGATATTCGTAAGTGCGGAATAAACGTTAGCAACTTACATACCATGAATTCGTCACTAGACATAGGAGGGAGAGCCGATAATACCAACTCCTTAAGTCGTGCGCCTTCGGAGCTTTAATTCTGAGCTAAATCACCTATTCAGTCGAATGGCAGCAAATACGTATTACTCAACACTTGGTTGCTTACTGTTCGATACTCTAAGCCAAGAAACCTGCCAAGATATGCTTATCCTCGACTATTAGACGAAGTAATACAAAGGATTAACAAAGATGGAAGGTAGGAAAGAGAAACGAAATGAAAGCATAACCACCTCTCAAGAACATTGTTTTCTAATACCAAAAGTATCCGTAGGTAATGTTGAAACAGGAGTACCAAAGAATCGCTTCAACATGCCATTCTTGCCGCCCAATTGTCTTCTAGTAATGGAACCGTTCAGTTTATCGTGGTGCAGTCTATCGTCTTCCAAATCCTTCGACAAAGTTGATCCACATTTCGATAAGGCTGTCGCTATGGGCTCTTGATTTGCTCTCCTCCTCTGTGTACACAGGCGTATCTGCAAATGCTTGAACAGCCCCCCCAAAGGTTGCTTTGATACCGCTTTTCCTGTTCAAGTGCTATCAGCAATGTGACGAAGGATACTCATGGATGGTTGTATCAACGCCATGGAACCAAATGCCATCGATCCCTCCGTCCGAAAGGCTCAGTGGATAAGAAAAGTGTGGTTGCCAATCTGTTCATCAACGGCACAGAGAGTAAACATCGGCTTTAGTTTTGAAGCTGCCACCTCTCGGCTCTCGTCGGTTCGAGGATCAGCGCGGACTTGCCTGGCCCACGAGCCCCCATCACCATCCCAAGTTGAGGAAGCAAGGAGAGCGTCCAGGAGCCCACGCGCACCGCCGCCAAGGCGAACAAGGCAAGATAAAGAAATCAAGCTTCACCCGCAAGCTTCGACTAGCTCTCGAATAGGCAGCAGGGATAAGACCAATAGTTCTTCTTCGGGCAGGAGGGCTGTCTCTAGACCCCCAGTCTTGCTAGGCTAATATGCCGGTGTCAAGGGGCTTTTTAAAGTTAACGTTACGGGCACCGGTTCGAAAGTGACAAGGGAGGGCTAATAGATACTAATCTGAATGAACGAACGAAGCGATATCCCGAAGTTCCGTTTCGTGTTGTATGTTAGCGCGTTCCTCCAGGGCAAAAATGGCGCGGGCATGGGAGATCGATAGTCGGAGGCTTCTAAAGTTCAAGCTTCTTTCTGGAATAGGAAGGCCGTGAGCCGCGGACGTCGCACGGCGCGGCATGCGAACATTGCGACCTACCGCTCTGGCAATTAGGGGGTTGCTTGATAATAGATCCGCTTTATGTGTATATGATTATGAGTGTGAAACTGCGCGGAATTGTAGAAGAGCGAGGTCGGATTTTTGACCACAGCAGGTTTGGTGGGCTGCGCTGACGATAGTAGGAGTTGGTGTTTTAGACGGGAAGCCAAAGTTAGAGCCCTGGTCAGTCAGCATGGGGTAGACCTTGGTTCTCCATGAACAGCTGCAGGGAGTATGGGCAAGATGTGTGATTCTAGTGGAATAACGGCGATTTGAGGCAGCCCATCTTTGCTTTTGTTAGTGAAGAACATGGCGCTGAGATACTGCATAATCGCCGAATCAGGGCCCTTGAACATGTCCGAATAGATTGAGGATTTGAATGGGCTGCCTCTATGCACGGGCGCCAAGAATGGCCAAGCATATCTATTGGCTTCAATTGATATACATGTACATCCTCTGCACCCATTTGTGTTTGTAACGTGTCAAATGGGGAGATGGTGGTGCAGAGGATTACACCCAAGGCCAAGTTGAGGGTGGTATCTTCGTCTCATCTCTCCACCTCCGCGTGTACTTTGCAGAATGCGCTGATCGACAGGCACCCTGTGTGTTCCTGCACCCGTCAAACGCACGCTTACCTTTATCAGGGCTCCCGATTGGTGGGATCCGCGGCTGTCGGTCCGAAGCCTCAGCATTCCACAGCCAGGAAAATCCATGGCATGGCTGTCCTTGTGAGGACTCGGCATCATCCTTCGGGACCCTGTTGTTTCTCCGAAATGTTTCCATTTTGTTTCATGCGGCGGCAGGGAATATGCAGAAATATCCATTCCATGGGCTTGGCGGCTGGCTGATTCTCCAAGGCGCTTACACGTACTTTTAAGTGAATGCTTGGATAAGGCCAGGGCTGGCACAGTATCAATCAAACTGACAGCACGTTCATATCCAACACAGGGAGGACAGCGTGAATTTTTGTTTATCTACGAGTATGCGATTAATTGCCCGCCAAATCAACCTCTTACTTAAAACAGCCGCTCGTTGCAAGTTGATTTGATGGGCTTGGCGCCTTGGCTGATCATGACCACTTACACACATACTCGTGCATATTTTACCAGCAACACTAACCAATACTCGTAGTATCAAGACAGCCAACTTCCATACGCAGCAGTGGGACCAAACAAGGGAGCCTCTGCATCACAGCCTAAGGGCCTCAGGTCCACATGGCACCCCTGTGCTGGAACTTGTTGTCACAAGAACGGCGTGTGTGTAAGTGGCTGGTACAGACTCTAAACGTTTTAGCCTGGTCACGATCTGCATCAAATAAAGCCAGGATGACTCTGGCATCGCTTTCCCCACGAACGGCGCCGTCCACTGGTTGACTGGACCGCCAAGCTGGTTCCCGCCGAGCGTGGTCGTGGCTTGCCCTTCTTGATTGGGGTCAGCGTCAATGCCGCCCAAGTGGATTGTTATCTAGCCTTATTTCAATATTGCATAGAATGCCAAGAGAGCAGTGTGGTGACTTCGAGACTTGGTAGCATTGGGGGTCAGAGATGGTGGGAGATGGCATACCCAATCTGGGAGGTTGTCTCTGCTATTCATGGGGCACATCTGCACGGCATCAGCAACATGCCTGTCCCCCTTTTGCGAGAGATGTAACGGCACGACTGGAGTATCGCTGGCAAACCCTTACAATGGGTTTAGCATGGTATGCTTCTCTGAATCCGATGGATTACTTGATCTCCTATGTGTAACGGGGCTTCAACAACTACTTAAGAGACTACTTGTCTCTCATTTCTCTATTCAGCCCTTCCCTTGGTCCTGCCACACAAAAAACAATACAACAGTCTCTGACATCTCGACTTGGTCTAAGACAACACTCGTACCATTCTCGCACCATTGTCACAATGAAGTTCTTCACTCTCGCCTCTGTTCTTGGCCTCGCCGCCATGGCCCAGGCTCACATGGAACTGTCATGGCCTTATGCCTTCCGCTCCAAGTTCAACCCCAACGTGCCAGAGCCTCTGCGAGACTACAGCATGACCAGCCCGCTGCTCCAGGCCGGCGGCAACTATCCTTGCAAGGGATACCAGGTCGACTTCAACAAGCCCGAGGGCAAGTCCGTCGTCACTTGGACAGCCGGCGGCACTTACAACCTTACGCTCTCCGGCACTGCGACCCACGAGGGTGGTAGCTGTCAAGTCTCGCTCTCCTACGACCAGGCCAAAACCTGGAAGGTCGTCCACTCCTGGATCGGCCAGTGCCCTCTCAAGCCCACCTGGAGCTTCACCCTGCCCAACGATACCCCTGCTGGAGATGCCATCTTCTCATGGACCTGGTTCAACAAGATTGGAAACCGTGAGATGTACATGAACTGCGCCCACGTCACCATCAAGGCCCGAACCGGCTTTGCTGCACGCAGCCCATCTGATCCTTACAACGGCCGTCCTTCTCAGTTTGTTGCCAACGTCAACAACGGCTGCGGTACCCTCGAAGGCAAGGACCTGCTCTTCCCCAACCCCGGCCCGGATACCGATTTCAGCTCTTCTGGCACTGCTCCTCCTACTGGCACATGCAACACCGGCAAGCGCTTCGCCCAGCCATTGACTGTTTAAATTGGAAGAGATGTAAAAATTGAGAAAGAGTTGAAAGAGAGGTTTGGTTAGCAGTGGGAAGCTACCGGTTGTGGTCATTCTGATTCAGTATATATATTTTTGAGAAGACGCTTTGTATATAGTCTTTAAAACCATTGGACTCTCTTTATATAGCCAAGTCGAAGTCTAAATTGTCGATAGTTGTAGATAAATTGTACATTGACATCAGTTCCTGAAAAACAAGTTGTTTGTGAAATTGCGCCAAAGGAATACATATATTGTTAAAAAAAGAGTAACTAATATGAGAAGAGAAAAGTGCAAATACCATCAATATAGGTATCCATCTCATATAACCAAGCATACCGCTGCTAAACACCGAGTCGACATAACCGTGATCCAACCCAATTCCCAGCATATATCCTAATCCGTGCATCATAAAACTCATATCATTAAAAACCAAGAAGGAGAAAAAAGGGGGGGTATAACGCAATCGTAACTTCGGAATTTTCTAGTGCCATATCCGGATTCAATTTGTGCATTCGAGCTTTGTTCGCTCACTTATTTCGTAGGAATGACAGTAAGGGGAAGTGCGCCATCCTGGCTCTGTTTATCCCAATTCCACCCTTTTTCGTGACCACATCCCAGATCATCATCATCTATTACGGCATTAGTAAATCCTCATAGCTCGAATTGAATCAGGAAGTCTTACCAGATCCTGAATCGGAATCATCATCCTCATCGGCAGCCATAGACAACAACCCCTTGCCAACTCCATAAAAAACGCTGAGCAGCTGCGCGATGGAGATGAAAAAGGGCATGAACTGGCCCGGGGTAGCGAGGCTGTGGACGCCCGAGATGTTGTTCCATTTGAGGGCCATTTCCACATAGACGATGGCGCCAATGTTGACGAGGAAATCGACCGGGCCAAAGCCCATGGGGTTGTCCTCCTCCTTGGACTTGGTACCTTCTTTCTTGTTGAACCGCTTCACGAAATTGGCGGCGCGGACAAAGGTGAAGAGGATTAAGGCTGTGTAAGCAAAGTGTGTTAGTATTTCGAAGTCTTAGTTGGAAGAGTTACATGTACTGACCTGCGAGATAGAAGACGACGGAGACGACGCCGCCGATAATGGCAAATACGGAGCCGACCTTGTTGAGAGTGCGGAACCAGTGCCAAATGCTGACCTTTGCAAAGAAAAAGGCCTTGTCGTCGGGACACGTCCGATGCAACGTATCCATGCCATGCCACCAAAACCAAGCAAACAGCGCGATCAACGCTCCAACCTCAAAGGTGTAAATGAGGGCCGTGGTCTGGCCCTTCCAGTAAGGAACGCGACAGACGCCGACCTGGGCGAGCAGCAGCGTGAGGATGGGGAAGACCTCGACAGGCTGGATGGCATTTTCTTCTTGTAAAAGGGTGACTAAGACGATACCGGTTGCGAGGACGAGGATGATTGTGCCCTGGCCGAGCGTGTCTTCGGTCTTGAAGATTGCGCTGGCGAGGCCGGACAGCTGGACGGTCATCATCTGGACGTAGATGCCGATGCGGATGCCGAGGCCGTAGAGATCGGAATTGCCTTCGACGGGGCACGAATTGGTGGAGTTCATGGCTCCGGTGTTTTTCTATGCGTTTACTTTGCCTTATTGAGTTTTGAAGGGCCAGGCTACAGAGTTGTATTGTGTTGAAGAAAGAAACAACAACAGCAACGACAGCTCATGTGAAACTGTGGAAGGATATAAGCCCATGCACACTCGACCCAACCCAACCGCCCATCGCCAGAAGCACCACAGCCACACAACCAGGCTCCCTCTCCACATGCGCTGTAATCCCAGCCGGGAGTTGCACTCAAGGCTGCCTCAGGAGCTACTACTAAAGCTGCCTGTCTTTTCAGCCTCAGTCCCTCAACCTCTTTCTCGCCCCTCCCCCTCGTCCATTCGTTCAGCCGCTCGAGCTAACAAGTATCACATGCGGGAAATAACCAGAACCAAGCAAGGCACAGGACAAAGGAAACGAAAAGCACGACGAGAATACGGGGGAACACCAAGCACAGCTCTAGTTGCTAGCGCATCGTTGGCCCGCTACCCCTGTCGCCAACATATCTGCCTCGCTCTCGCACGACGATCTTGATTGGCTCAGGATGGGTCTACTTGTGGCGGAGGGCGGTTCGGGCCCTGGGCAGCGCCTCTGGTCCGCGTCTGTGCCCAATGTCTCATCGATAGGATCGCGCAAGTTTTTTGGCGGTAGCTCTCTGAGCTGTGAGGCTGAAAAGGAAGAAAAGACACCAAGACGCCTGCCCCCCTCCACACCACATGACGGTCGGCATACATGTCTAGTGAGCGAGGCGAACATCCTCTAGGCAGGGCTTCTGTTGTCTCCTTTGCTTGAGCCTGGATAAGCACTGCCACCCGATGCGAGGGGGCCAGACTCGACGGGTTGATCTGCGTTACTCACATATCTAGCGGCCGGGGCCCGCAACTTTATCGAGGGCCAAGTTCTGTTGTTGCTCACGGGAATCGACAGATGCTTGGCGGCGTCTAATCTTTTTTTACCTCTCTTTGTGCGAGTGTGAGAAATTGCTTGTATCACTTTGCCACTCGACGCCGTTGGATGTTGGTATAAGTGAAATCGGCGGTCTCTTTGACTGGCTTCTGCTGGACTCGGCTCATCCCCTGCTCGGTTCTCTTCCCCTCTGTCCTTTGCAGCTCGTCGTTTCATCTCCCGCCATCGTATCGAATCAAAGCAAAGCAACTCAAAGCAAAATCATCACCATGTCCACCTACTCGGACAACTGCCCGGGCGGCAACTCGGATCTGTACGGAATCGGCGTCCGCGTCGGCCTCTACGCGCAATGGGTCGCTACGCTGCTCGCGACCCTCTTCGATCCCAAGACTGAGGGCACGTACCGCATCGCCAACCTCATCATCCAGTGGTCCATCTTCCTGGGCCTCTGCACACAATCCAGCGCCGGCGACCCCGTCATCGGCGCTGTCATCACACAGTACCTGCTGTTCGGCTCATTGTCCAGCTTGACTGGCGATGGCATCAGTCACTTGAGCCACTTTTCAGGCATCTTTCGCATCGTATTCTACACAGCCGTGTCTTCATACGGATGCTGGTTCTGGTTTAATGGAATAGATGACATGACGGTGGAGGTATGCCATGACACTGCCTTCTTTGGCAGCATCAGCCTCTATGGAGGGTTCCGCACCGTGGGCAAGGTGTTCTCTGTGCTAGGACTTATAGTGTGCGTCATTTCGCTCATCTACAGCGTCTTTGCGACTACAAGGAGATTCAAGGACGGCTTTCGAAATGGCTTCGAGGCCAAGGAAAAGACGCGTCCGCAGGTGGAACTGGTGCTGCTGCTTCTGTCCATGGCCTTGATTGGCATATCCATCTACCTGGTCGAACACCTGATCCAGATCAATGAGATCACGGGTGTCGACGTCGGACAGATCAACACCGTCGGACAGTTGATTCCGCTGCTTGCGGGTGGACTGGCGTGTGTATTGACTATGTGGAGGATTGTGACTCACCGGCTGTTTATGAGGAAGAGATGCTGGTTCCTGTTTGGCTACCACCTGTGATTGAAGCTCTTTTGCGGTGTTTTCTTCTTACGGCTATTACGGATGGATGATTTGATGAAAGCGATACCATTTCTGGGTTTATGATGTTTGGATGGAAATACATGGTTAATGGTTAGAATATAGTTTTTGGCTTATACGCTCTATTAGTTCTTCCTCAAATACTCAATGCTATTAATATTATGCCATCATCCATCGCCCGCCGCATCTCCGGAGCCAAACCCGGCGCCCCACTTAAGCCCGCCGCCAAAAATCAACCTCCGGCCTCGGGGCTTATCGTTATCAAGATCTGAATCATAACTTGCCTTGACTCTTCCACCTTGGACGCATTCAGCGCAGTCTTAAAATTCGCTTTTTTCTCTTCCTTTCTCCTTTCGTTTCCTCAGTTATTCTTGTTTCACCACATCAGCAGCCTCAGCATCGTCAATCGGAACCTCTGCAGAGGCTCAATCCCCCCAAAAATGTCTCCCTTCAACCTCGAGACCTGCGCTCGCCCCAATATCCTCGCATTGCAGCCCTATCGCTGCGCTCGAGAGTCAGTCCAATCTCAATAACCTCCATCTCTTAGCTCGACATGTAACTGACGCATAAAAACAGCGACTACAAAGATGACGGCACAAACATCCTCCTCGACGCAAACGAAAACGCATACGGCCCTTCCCTCTCCGCTGCTGCCGTATCCTCCGTCTCGCAAAGCAAAGATGGCCTTGGCATCGATCCTCTCGGCCTGCACCGCTACCCGGATCCTCACCAGGTCGATTTGAAGCAGCTGCTCTGCAAGCTGCGCAACACCCACGCGCACACTGAAAAGACGCTTACCGCAGAGAACCTCTTTGTGGGCGTCGGTAGCGACGAGGCCATCGATGCGCTGCTGCGCTGTTTCTGCGTGCCGGGCAAGGACCGCATCTTGACCTGCCCTCCTACCTACGGCATGTACGCCGTCTCAGCGCAAGTCAACGACGTCGCCATCGTCAAGGTGCCGCTTCTCCCTGCTCCCACGTTTGGCCTCGACGTCCCCGCCATCTCCGCCGCCCTGTCGTCCGACTCATCCATTAAGCTGCTCTATCTTTGCTCGCCCGGAAACCCCACTGGTTCTCTCCTAGCCAAGGCTGATGTCGTTGCCCTGCTCAACCACCCATCATGGAACGGCGTCATCGTGCTAGACGAGGCTTACATCGACTTTGCTCCCGAGGATGCCTCCCTCGCCGAACTCGTCACCGAGTTCCCTAACCTTGTCGTCATGCAAACCCTCTCCAAGGCCTTTGGCATGGCCGGCATCCGCCTCGGCGCCGCCTTCGCCCCGGCTCCTATCGCATCACTACTCAACAGCCTCAAGGCACCCTACAACATCTCCAGCCCAACCAGCGCCCTCGCCTCCTCCGCCGTCAGCACGGAGGGTCTCGCCGTCATGCACGCTAACCTCTCCAAGATCCTCACTCAGCGCGATAGAATCATCAGCGAGCTGCCTTCGATTCCCGGTGTTGGCCGGCTTCGCGGTGGCACGGCAAGCAACTTCCTGCTATATGAGATGCTCAATGCACAGGGTCAGCCGGATAATGCCATTGCGCTGGCTGTGTATGAGAAACTTGCTGAGACGAAGGGTGTGGTTGTGCGATTCAGAGGCAAGGAGCACGGATGTCTTGGTTGCCTAAGAATTACCGTAGGTACGGAAGAGGAAGTGACGCGGTTTTTGGAGGCATTGAAGAATACATTGGCAGAAGTAAGAGGAAGCTCATGAGGGATGAAATGATGAGGAAAATGGTGTTGTTTGTAAAAAGGGGAAAGCGATTTACCTAGATGGATACCATGTTGGAGAATAGAACAGAGTAAAACAAGGAAGTCAATGACATAAAATAGAGCGCTTATATCTATCCACATAAACAAGTTCATCAATTCAGTTCTTTTTCCAAAGTCGCATGTTGCCAGCAGGATATATACAGAGCTGGGCTGATCTTTTACACTATATACATATACAAAAATTGGAAAATAGGGAGAAGAGCAGCACCAGAGCATCAAGCCAAGCCCCAGGTTGCAAAGATTATTCCCAAAGAAACTACCGCCAGCGGCATCAATTCGAGATTCAATCTCGCACCAGCAGAATTTTGTGTCGGCCGCGCATCCCCCGCAATGCCTCGCTTTGTCGTCGTCTGTACTGGCGGAGGCACAGAACTCTCCTGATTACTCCAATTCGCCTCGCGCACATTCTTGATATCCTTTGCCTCTAAAGGTGGCGCAGCCCCATCAATCAGCAGCCCCTGAACCGTCTCGAGCGCGCACATTTCTGAGCCCAGACTGACCAAGCCGTCGAATTCGCCTACATACCACTTCTGGCCACAGGCGCGGCCAGTCGGACCTCCTGTGCAAGTAGCCGCGGCGGCTTTGGCGCTGGGAATGAGAAGGCTCTCGACCTTTTCACGGAGCGAGGGAACCATCTGAGTTGACTGCCACATGAAGCGAGCCAGATAACCCTTGAACGTCGTCATGTCGGCGTTGCATCGCTCGACGGTTTCGCAGGCGCCCTCGTACATGATCTTGGTGGTGCTGTTGGGCGGCGTGAAGAACCAGCCAGCGCCATCCAGCAGTCGCTCTGTCCGCTGCTTCCATTCAGGTTTCTTGGTGTAGTTTGCCATGATGGCCGCGCCGTACAGGTAGATGCCGCTGGTGTAAGTGAAGGACGCCGGGTTCGTCTTGGTGCAGTTGGTATCGATTCCAGCACCATCGTAGACGTGATACGATTCGGGATCGATAAAGCCAATGTCCATGGACCAGTCCCAGACTCTTTCTGCCCACTCGAGATACGTGTCGTTGCCAGTGGCGCGGGCCATGCGAGCGGCAATCTGGAAGAACCCACCATTGCTAATGCTGTTCTTGTACGTCAGGCCGTTCGGGTTGGAAGCGTAAATCTGCCACAAGAGACCGCCGCCGCAGTCTTGCGTGTTCCAGCGGCTCGCAAGCTGGTTGAAGACATTAGCTCCCAAGTCCAGCCAGGAGGGCAGAGTGATGTTTGGCTGCGGAAAGTTTCGTTCGGCGGCGGCGATGGCAGCGGAGCCCCAGAAGAAGAGATCGTCGTTGCCCTCTTCAAAGGCGTGTTCTGCCGGCATGTACGAGTGCTGGATTCCAAGATTCGTAGGCGCCAGCAGAGCTTGGATCACGACGTCGTTGTAGGTCGAGTCGTTGGTGAAGTGATAATAGTCCAGCATCGCCCCCCAGAGTGCGCCGGCCGTCCACCAGTAATACGGATCCTGGAGATCTCCCATGGCGACAGAGTCCGGGGCCGAGAGGTTACCCTTGTAGTAGGACATGGCATCGTATGCAAGAGTGGCCGCGACATTTCGAACCGACTCTGTTTGGGGCTGGTGTTAGTCGCCTTGTCTTACATGGGGTTCAATTAGACGAACTTGAGTTCTTGACATCCAGCGAATTGGGGGCCGTGATGGCTGAGCTTACTGCCGCGGCGGCATGAACACTTCTCATGAACTTCATGTTGCTTATTCTTTTTGTGAGATGCAAATCTATAACCGTCGATTGATTGCGTATCCAGCACCAGTGGATTGGTTCAAAGCTCGGCCAAAATATATAACGATAGAAGTATAACAAGAAAAGGAGGATTCAATCTATCTCCAGCCTGGAAGATAGCGAGAGAAAACCCAAAAGTGAGAGTCGTAGGATAAAAACAATCGATCCGATGCGTCCAGCGGCAAAAAGGTCGAATAAGAGTCGTCAGGATGGGGGTGGTAACGTCAGATCTCAACAAAGGAGGGCAATCAATATGCGATTCTCGCCACTCGAAAAGAGAAGAGGCAAGAAACCAAAGAATCAAGCACAGCAAGATTCAAGAAAAAAAAAAAGAGAGATCCAAACAAAGGTGCAAGCAGGCGACGATATCCTGAATAGGGAAGACAAAGAAAAGAAAGGAGACAAAAAGAGGGAGCTCAAGGCTGTTTGACCAGAGAAGAAACAAAACCAGGGGAAGAAAAAAAAAAAGGTAACCTGAATGAATAAATAAGCCTCAAGCTCGTAACTCAAATGTGAAATAGAAATAAATAGCAAGTCCCACGTAACAATAGCACCCTTCCCTTCCCTTGCATATTGTTTCATCCAATGCAGCCTCTATCCAAACAAGGAAGCCCACAAGATCTCCCATCCTTTTTTCTCGGTGCATCTCACTCCAATCAATGACATACAGCGTCCAGCGCTTGATTTGGCTTGGGGGCCCCATCTAGCCTGATTGTTCCAAGTTTATAGGTCCGAATAGGGCGGGATTTGGAAGGCGAAACGCTCATCCCTTAGGATCTGGCTAAAAACATCCATGGCCTGGAGCTTGGTAGCATTTGGATTTAGGCGCGGCTGCAGGGGTTCGTTGGTGTTTGATGGCGAGTAGTAAAAAGGGAAGGGCTATTCAGCACCCCAAGTTGGCTATCCAGCACTCCAGCGATTAAAAAAGAGTAACGAATATCGTAAGAACGCAGAATAAAGATCTTTCTTATCAGTATTACTTGAATATATATACGGTTCCTGGAGTGTCTACTATTCTCGCTACTTTCTGCTACTACAGCTACTTTCTTCTATTATCTGCCATTATTACTACCAATGCCGCTTTAAATTTAAGAACGGGATGCTGAATAGCGAACGTGGGGTGCTGAATAGTCATTCCCTTAAAAAAAAAAAAAAAAATAGAAAAAGAGCCTTGGACATGTGTTTTGTTTGCATTCTGAGGAAGAAGAAACATGATTCATCAGGGGCTGCGTTTCATGTTGTCCGCGCGGCAAAAATGTCCCTAGTCCTCCACGAATAAAAGCGATAGGCAGTGGTTGAAGACCAGAAAGAACAAAGAAAAAGACTGTGCTTAGACGAGCATCTCCCCAGAAGAGCTGGATTGGCTGACAGCGCTTCGTGCCCAGGAAACACGGGGTAGTGAAACAACCAGATCCACCCTGGCTGACATGGGTGTGATTCTGGTGACTTTGGCATTCAAGCTTTACTCGAAGTGTTGGTTACGTGTACGAGCATCGTGTATGTGGTTCATTTGCAGCATGAAGGGCATCAAAGCAGACAGTAGCTTATACACTGCATGTAGCCGTAAGCATAGGTAATGAATAACACAACTGCCGAATGCAGCAGAGGTGGAAATAAAGTGTCCCGATATGAAGAGTCCGAATCAGCAACAGCCTTCGCCACAACCCTTCACAAAACGCGACAAGGCATACGGCGAATCCCATGCCTAATTGACTCGGCTATCCATTTTATCCCTTGATATTTCATAGGCTACCGCACAAATGCCCTAACATGACCCGAAAAAAATGAGAGAGAAAATTGACAAGGTTGTTTCCTTAACTCCACGCTTTTAATCCCATAAAATTACCAACTCCTCCATATGCTTCGCTGAAAAATCAAATCGCAGAGAGGGTATAACGCAATCATGACGCTTCCCGGAAACCCATAGCAGAAAAGACAGAGCGCACTTCCTAGTCTAGTCTCCTTCGAACAGTCATTTCGTTCCTCCACTTTATTTGTCTGCATGCTCGCCCGATAGTGAGCGGTCGCATTGCATCGACATTACTATAATGCCAGGTATACAGCCACAACGCTTGCCATGAGCCCATAAACCGACTGCAATCCGGAAACGCGCAAATTCGATCCCAGAGACGTTGGCGAAGGTTCGTACATCATCCCAGAAGGAGCTGAGGGCGTAGTCATGGTCCCAGCAGGGTCAAAGTCATCGTCGGTTGCCCCTGGGGGTTCATCCATCGTCAAGGTACCCCACTGCACTTCCGACCCAGTAAAGGTGGACGTCCATGAAACCTGTGTTGGCCCGGTGTGGTGTCCGTTTGTGTAACCGGATCTGTAGCTCGAGTAACCCGAACACGTTGCGGCCGTTGTGCCGCTCAAGTCGCACTCCACATCAGCGATACTTTGACGCAACGTTAGCCTGCAATCCTCCTATGCCCACCGAGTCACATCAACTCACTATGTCGAAGTCACTGTTCCATGGAACTCGAGCGTACCGGGCCCTTCCACGATGACAAAGGGGAATTCGAGAGACAGGTCGCATGCGGGGGGAGTTTGCGTCGGGCAGAAAATGGTAAACGTTGTCCTGCTAGCAGAGGGATCCTTGAGAGGGCGTTAATCCTGCAGGGCGGTATATCTCAACGCAGGGAGGGAGGGGAGAATGCATGCAAAAGAACAAAAAGTTTCGTGAGCCGCGCATACCGTTGAAATGATGCTCCCTCGAACCAGCGACCACGCGCGCTCGTCATAGTACGGCAAGTAGATGGGAGCAGCCGTCACTGTTGGGGTTGCGGCCAGTTCTCTGTCAGGCTCACCATGTGGCATCGCGTCGGCTGCACATGGAGCGACTAGCGCAAGCAACGCAAGCAACGACGTTGACCACGGTCTCGGACTAAGTTTGGCCATGATGGGCTGTCGCTTTCTGGATTGGTGCAGTTTCGTGCTCGGAAGCGCGGAGGTGGTTGTCGCGAAACCGAGCAAGCGCAACTTGGGGATGCAACTAGAGAGATGAGCGATTCAGGGTGTGCCGAGTATGGAGCGTCGGGCTTCGGGTGTCGAATGTCAGATGTCGATTGTTGATTGCCGATTATTAAGTGGCGATTGTCGAATGCGCGCAGCTTTGGTCTTTTGACACAAGACTTGACTGAGAAGAGTTGATCGAATCCTCAGATAGTCTCGTCACCACCAGCTTGGGCGAACAAGATGCACAGGCAGATGCATGGAGGATGGAGGATGAAGAACGAAGAATGATTGAGATGAGAGACGGAGCGGCAGAGGTCCAGCCAGAGACCAGAGGAAGCCCGAGAGCGGCCCATGGGAAGCATCAAGGGTCAAATACTAGCGATTTTGGTCCCACGATGCCAAGAGTTGGAACTCTGTCTCCTTTGCAGCAAGTTGCCAAGGCATGTGGCCAATTGGGTTTAGAGCCAGTGCCGGTTTTTCTCCATGAGGTCTTGGCATTGTAGGTCTTGGCATTGCCTGGGCTCCTTTTTTTTTTTTTTTTGTGCCATGACGACGTCGTTTTGCAGTCACCTGTGGAGCATTAATACAAGATAAAGTACATGGCTGAGATGGGACGAGACTCAGTTAATCTATATATTTGTACAGATAGGTAGGCAGCCTTACTCTAGAAAATTGAGGAAGCGTGTTGTTGCAGAGTCTTATCAAAGAGGGAGAGAAGGAGAGGAGGAGGGGCTATTGTGAATCAAACAATGCCGCGCAATTCAACTCCTCGCCAATGTCCGCACTCTCTCCGCCCTGTCTTGTGACTGTCACTGCTCGATACCTGGTACTAGTTGGTACACGTTATTGAATACGAAGTACCTTACGGAGTATTAGCTGTAGAAGATTGCTGCGGCACAATCAGACGGCAAATCCACAAGGCAGGCGCAGGCCCGACGTGGACAAGGGAGGGAAATCATGGCCGTCTTGGCACTCTCGCGCAAAAGCGGCCACGCATTTCTTCCTTCTCTTTTCTGCGACCCTGCGAGTCAACCCGCCGGGCCGCCAAGGCTTTGCCAAGACAGTGTCTGGGAAGGTTTGATGCCGGCTCGTGGCTGCCAAGAGGCGAGGGCTGCCGGATAGGTGCATATTATGCAGCAGGCATTTCTGCTTAGTGTAATTTCCTCTTGTCTCCCTATCTCCCTGTGGGGGGCTGGAGAGCGCATCCTCGGCAACTGAGTTCAATCAGTAATTGCATCTGTGGCGCGTATATGTCTCAAAGCAGAAGGATCAGCAGCAGGCACGGGACTCTCCGTTGGGGTTCGTGACTTTTAGTTTGGCTCAACTGTTCGCCGATCACATAATTACCACTATTAGTAGGTAAAGAGTCTTCTAAATACTACTAGGCAGTATAAGAAGGCACGTGAGCTGGCAGCTCCAGGGAACATCATGCCATCTTGCCATCTTACCTTTGGTCCGTATCTTGAATCTTGAATCTTGATGGCCAAATCTCAGTGCTGCATCGCCATCTCGTTGGTCCCAGATATACCAGTGCGAGTACTCCGTATATCCCAAACAGACGCCATTCAGACAAGGTTACACAATCAGTATCATGTTGGCCGCTAAAAAATAAGCGAAGCGCAGAGACACAGAATATGCAGCCAACAGCAACACAAGCCAGCTAGCGGTTCAATCCACACAGCACAGATCGCCTGTTTGAGATCCGACAGAAGCAGCCATTGGCGGGATGCTGGTGAATAGAGTTCCAGGTTGCGGTTTCAGGATAACACACGCATGCTTAAGCGCTCGATTACCTTTGTATCCTCGACTGCAAAGCACAGCAAAGGATATGACCGACCGAAAAAGCAAGCAGCCCGTCGAACGCGGAGTCGACTCATGCTGTATTCATACGAGTACACGTCCCGTATCAAGGTTGCATTTCGCTCTATATTAATTCGCCGAACGGCTTAGGCTCGTCTCTCCACATCTGAAACTGGCTGCGCCCTGTCACTGCGAGAAAAGGAAATCCATGGATAAAGAAAAATTGGAGCTCTCTAATGCCGCCTCCCGCCAAACCAAACTACTATACTTGTGCTAGCCAGGGGGGAAAAAAGACAAAATTTAGCATCCATGCAAAGCTTCCATGGTTCTGGATCCAGTGCGAAGCCTATTGGCTACCAATCTCAAAGTTGGATGGACAACAGACGCAACGCCATCCCAACATCAAGTCCAGCCACGCGGCCTGATGATACAGACAAGAGAGAGCCATGGCTGATGGTATTTTCCCGCCACCGCTTGAGCTCTCTTTGCACTCTTACCCACATGTCAAATGCTAGTCAAATGCTAGTCTAATGCTTGGGCAATGACGCGCAAGACGCAAAAGTCCTCGTACTGCTCCGTGCGCTAAATATCGTGAGATTCCAATCGAGAAGCATGACTAATTTTTTGGTAGGCAATCCGGGTATTTTGCCACGATCTAACTTGTAAAGTATATCGCCGAGACTAGCATGTCTGCAGCACTACCTTGAAGAGGAAAAAAGGAGACGGTAGTCTGGACCGTTGAAGGCCAAAATGGGCTCGAGACTGCTAAATAAAGCTCGCGTTGTTGCCGGCTCAGATCCGCTTGACATCTTTTTCTTCTAGTTGGTATCGCCATTCACTCGTTCCCCGTCCGATCGTTGCGTCCAACAGCCATTCACTCGTTTCAACCAACTACCAACACACAGTTACACAACTGCTTCGCCAACCACGATACAACTTGACACTCGTTCATCCATCAACACCTACCATGGCTCGATCACTCGCTCTTCTCGCCTTTTCCAGCGCCGTCATGGCTGCTCAAACCACCACCGTCTCTCTACTGCTTCCCTTTGCCGACCCCCAGAAGATCGTCGCCTCTGTCGTCGCCGCTGATAGCACGGCTACAACTTATGTCTATGGATGCCCTCCTGGAACTCAAGCCGACGACTGCGGGTTTGAAACCAGCCAGACCATCACTCAAGGCCCATCCACATGGATTTATACCAATACCTACTCTGGTGACGACGGCGGCGTTTAGTAAGTAACATTCTGGCTCAATTCTGATGATGCAGTCAAATGTCATCGGCTTGGCTGTCATCAACCCGACCAACTGTCTCTCGACCCTCGAGCAACAGCTTTGTCATATGAACATAGAAACACCATTCCCAAATGAACACACGCTGACGCTTCCCATAGCACTCAGGGTGGCAACTGCAAGCTCACCAGCTCGGCAGACCGCGCTTCATGCAGCGTCTGGGTCTCTGGCTCCGCATCTGACAGTGTCATGGCCTCTGCCAGCCAAGGCACCGAGGCCTTCCTCACCTGGGAGCTCCCCGTTACCGTCACTGCTGGTGTCGAAAAGCTCCAGGCCGCTCCCGGCGCCACTGCCACTGGCACTGATGGTTCTACCGCTGCCCCCACCAACACCGGCGCTTCCGAGTCTTCCCAGACAACCGCTTCTACCGGCGCTGCGTCCACGACTCTTGCCAGGCAGACAACCGCTGCTAGCCACGGCAGCGGCACCCGCACAGCCTCTACTACCGCTGGGCCCACCAGCACCAACGCTGCGGGTATTGTCAACGCTCAGAACGGTCTCTTGGCTGGTGTTGCTGCCCTTGTTGGTGGTGTCATGATGCTGTAATTGAATGGACAAGACCTTTGTTAGGTAGGAAATGTGTTGAGAATGTATGAACATGCGAACCATGGATAATCTTTAATAAGCTTTGCACAAAGCCATTTGCCCTTTAGCGTCTTGAACATGAATTGCTGTAATGTATTCCCATAGACTATAATGAACGCTTTTCTCAACGGTACCAGCATCCTTGGAATGAGGGTGAATGGCGCATTGCAAGCAGCCTTCGAGTCCTTTGAACGGCCCAACTTGGGATTGGTTGCCGGATCCATATCATCTTTGAACATGTGCCATGGATATATGTCACTGTGTTCCTTTGTCATTACTCTACAACTTGGGCATTTATATGGCCCATTTTCTGGTTATTGACAATCCAAGCCAACCGCCCATCACAACTACTCTGAATCATTGCACACTTTAAAACTACATCAAAATGCTTCCCAGACGGTTTTACGCCAATATGAGGAATTTCGATACTTCCACCATGGATTCCTCCCAGCAGCGCAGCCACAGCCTCTTCGGCCGACAGCTGCTCGAGAGCACCGACCCCTTGACCAAGTTCTTCGTCGCCATGTACATTGTTTTGGCTTTCTGCGTTGTGGTGAGCATCTGGGTGGTACGCTCGATTCAAACCACGGTTACCGAAGAAGAGGAAGAAGAGCGTGGACGCCCGCGTCAACGGTATGAGAGAATACGTCAATTGAGTGAGAGCGAGGCTAGGGCCCAGGGGTTCGCGTCGGGTGTGGATAGTGATAGTTTGATGGGCTATCCGGGCTGTGTATAAGGTGGCTGTCTATGTATACATGTTGTCGTGTCAGGAAGGAATGAATGGCATGCTTATTGGGGGGTGCTCATAATTCATTTTGGGTCGAGTTGCGTTGTTCGAGCTGTTCTAAGTCTTCTCTGCCGTCAAGCCAGCTGCTGCAATTAATACATCGGCGAGACTACATGTGTTTTTCATGTCTGCTGTTAGCTTCCCTCAGCTACATTTCAATAACATATAAGCATTCGCACCTTTTCATTAATCCGCTTCAAGCAATACTGGCACTTCTTGGAATACTTGATAATAGGATCATGTGACAACAGCGTATACACGTGCGCCAGCCCATACAGCGAAAAGCCGACCATGATAAACGACACCATCTGATAGATGAAGGAGCCGTAAGCCATGACGACGGCGCCGTCGGCCTGAGCTTGGTGCAGCGTGTTGTAGCCGCCGGCGGGCGAGGAGGCGTTGTACTTGGGGCCTGCTCGGAGGACGGCGAACTTTTCCTCAATGTTCTTGTTGATGGGCAGGATGACGGAGATGGGGGGCATGAGGATTGCGCTGACGAAGGATTTGACGAGGTCTGTGAAGGCGGCGGCGAGGCTGGTTTGTTGGTTAGTTTTGGGGGGGTTTTGATTTGATGATGTTGGTTTGCTCTTTGTTTTTTTCGCTTGGTGTAGGTTATGACCTTTGTTGCTTATTGGAACTGAAGGCGGGAAATGAGGAAATGACGGCTTACATCAAACCAAAGGCAATTTGCAAAATGTTTCCCTGGAATGCAAAGTCTACAAAGCCGTGAAAGAAGCGCGTCACTCTTGTACGGCCTTTGTCGAGCAGTGAATCTGTCTCGCTGGGACCTCCAATCTCGATGTCGCGGGAGGAAGAGGAGGCATCTGGGCGTTTGGAGCTCATTTTGGGCGGTTTACGAGGATGATGGTGAGCATCACAAGTTTGGTGTGAATTGACAATTCACATGTATTTATTCGTGAAAATAAGGATTGGACTTTAAAGATTCATGCCTGATATTAGTCGCGAGATCGTCAATGTCACGAGCTTTGGCGGTGCAGAGGCAGAGCACTCAATTTCCCCTTTAGGCAAATTATGACGCAGATGGCGCTGGCTCTAATGCGTTGTTGCGGGGGGCCTTGGAATAAGCGAAGCGTCGAGAGGATCAAGATAAAACAAGGATAAAACACCAATAGCAAGTTTATGTTGGCTATCGTTATCTTTTTAACATCTAAAGAGCGTGATGTTTTTTTATTCTGAAATATCATTGCTGTATCAGCGTATTACTAGTATTGAGGTTTGCCCTCGTAGCATTTTGTACTTTCGGCCTTCCCACAGCCGCCTTTAAACCAAACCATCCGTAACCTGAGCTCTGATGTAGCGAGCGAATAAATAGGAAAATAAAAATCATTAATGGTCGAGCATTTTAACCCCCAAATTTCTCTTTCGTCATCATACAGACATTCGTCCTAGCGCCAGCACCAGGGAAAGGAGCCATCTTGGATGAGCTTAGAACCTCTCCTTGGAGTACCTCTCGCGGTCCTTCTTCTCCTTCTTCCAAATCAGCATAAACTTGGTCACCCAGAATCCCGTCGTCAGCATCATCAAAATTGTACTGCTCCATGTGAGACCGTAAAACTTTGTGCCCTTGGTAGCCACCACGGTAACTGGCTTGCCCTCGGTGTTGATCGCATTGACGGCAATTGAAGAGGCAGCTGTGGCGATGATACTAGCAAGGGTGATGACGCCGGCGCCAAGCGATGCGAGGGCCGTGTTCATCATGAGGATGATTCGCTTGTCTCCAAAGAGGAACGCCGGGATGCAGGCCAGCATGGAGAGGCCGCTGAAGCCCACTCCCAGGACGTAGAAGACGAAGAGCGCCATGAGGGCGCTGTTGAGAGCGGCGATTTTGAGCTGGATGGAGCCTGGCCACTTGATACTCTCGAGGCTGATGTGGAAGGGCCCGAGGGAGAGCTGGTGGTCCATGATCTCTGTGAGATTGAACCGGACTATAGGGGATTGAGGTTAGCTGGGATTCTGGATATTGAAACTAGGATGATGAAGGATGCCTCTAAACTTACTCTTGGCAGCTGACTGAGTGCAGTTGGTGACGTTGAGCTGGAAATGCGATGTCGTTGCGTTTGGCCCGAAGCCTCCCCAGCAAGCGTTCATGACGTGGAGCGAGTACCAATCACTGACGCCCAGCTCATCGGCAATGTCGCCGATGATGTCGCCCGCGATGTCGTTGATCTTGCCCTTGGCATCGTCTCCAAGGTCGTCAACCTTGTCCTTGAGCTTGTCCCAGAGACTCTCGTCACCCTTGTCGTCGTTGCTGCTGTCCGACTTGCTGTCGGTTTGCAGCACGTTTTGGCCAATCCTAGTTGTGTTTATCTGCGTATCTCGATTAGTTCTGCGTACCCAGACATTGAGAATTAAGCAGGTTTTTGCTTACTCTGATGACGGCATATTCTTCCAAGAAACCCTTTTGGTTTCCAGAAAACAGCGCCAAATTCGTCAGGACGAAGGCGACAAAGGAGAATATTAGGGGAATGAGAATGGCAAATCTTAAAAGCTTAGACATGATTATTATGGGTATGAAAGAATGGATCACCAGGATGCAATTCAACAGGTGTGGAAAGAGAAGATGTGTGAGAGAATGTATCACCGGGATGCAATCCTATAGGTATGAAAAAAAAGGGAAAATGAGCGTAAAAGAGAGAGTTTGGGTAGAATGGTGGGGGTCGACGATGCCTCTATATAACCGTGTGCTGGCCATGATTGTGTGAATAAAGCCTGGCCAGTTTGATGAAGTGCACACCCACGGTCACATCCAGTTCACTTTTTTTTCGGTCTGGTGAATGAATGGATTGGACCGGAGCTCAAGTTACGCGTATCAGTGCCAGGATCAAAGAGGCAACCAAAGGACAAGCTCGATTCTGCCCGCAGATTGTCATGGCCGATGGCTGGGATTGGCTAGCCGCGCGACAATCATTGTCTTGAAATCAAGGTCAAAGGCGCAAATCCGCTGAAGCGGTTTCACGGGCTTGATTTGCCTCTGGGCTGTTGGAGGACGGCGCTTTGCATCATCATGGGCGTGCTGGGGCTGAATGGTTGGCTGAGGATGGGCGAAAATGCCGTGAACAACGGACAGGGGTTTGTGTGGTTGTTGGGCTGAAGACGATCTGCTGCAGGGTCATACAGCACAAAGGCGTGCAAACAAACAAAATTGAACATGAATCTGGTGACCCTGTGATTGGATGAATATCGAATAGGCATTTTGTGCAATTTTATGTATTTTTAACTCTTTAAAAGATTTATTCATCAATCTCAAAAATGCATCAAAAGACAGATGAATTGTATTGTCACTACTATAAATAAATATCCAATGATCGGCCCAGGTAATGTCAATACGTATTCATGGCCCAAAAGCCGGCTGCCGTTGTGGGCCCGGCAAAGTACAGGGCGGAATCCAAATTCTGGGCCGCCGAGAGCCAGTCGATGCGCTACCAAGGCCCGGGTTTGGCGCTGGCGGCTGCTGAAACGCCCTGGCGTTTGACGGCCAAGATTCACGAGGATTGACGCATGTTTTGTCCACGTTGTGTAGTAGCACAAATCACAACATTTCAAAGTTAATCAAGTGTGCATCAACATAGAAATATATTCTAATGAATGAAACCTGCTGCTTATACACTGATATGATGATTTACTTTTGCAACACTGATTCAGCCTTACACCATATGGCACAGGACCTTCTGTTCAAGTCCTTCCACCATTCATGTACAGAAATGTCAGCCTTGAAGCTAGCATTACACAATTCAAGACCAGTCATGGTATTTAGAAGGCCGATGATGAGTAAGGGATTGATGTCATAGGGCTGGATTATTGTAGTATTGGCAGTAAGGCTGGTGTTTCGGCCTTGGTGTGCGTTGTTGGCGGTCACTATCACGACACCTCGCGGCCTTGTGCACTTGTCCCTGCTGTGTCGCCGTTAGTCTTGTTAGCCTCTCTCTGCCGCTTATATCTGGCATTAATCTAAGGTTTGGGCTGCGGCCTAGCACTGTCATACCAAAAGATGAAAAGTCTGGCAAATAGGACTTGATCTCAATGGTCCCTATAAGTATATGTCAATTTGCCAAACTATTCAAGAGATAGTTTCCCTTCTTGCAGCCTCTCTCGTTTTATTGCGAGGTTGGGGGTTTTATGCAGTAACGTAGTAAAGTAAACTGCTCCCTGAAATTGAACATTTGACAGAGCCGCTGGGGCATCTTAGGCATTAGATGGATGATGGATTGACGCTTTGTAGCACAATCACGAATAGCTCAACCACCAAGAAGTTTCCTGGCTGTACCTTAAGTCAGTTATAAGCATCTTTCATCATAAATTTGGAAGCTATTACCTGAAAATAGTACCAATATTAACAAAAGTAGTAATAAAAGTAGTAACAAAAATTAGCTATGGGAACAGAATGTAGCGATAGAAGCACAAAGCAGTAACAGTACCTAGTAGATATTTGAAGAACATGGAGGTAGGCGGCAGCTGCTAGGATGCTAAGTAGCCACACGCAAACAAACTTACTAGTAGGCACATAATCTTCTTGAGTAATATTATTCTTGAAACTGTCGAATATCTTCGTCTCTAATTTTGCATCGGGTCTTGCAAGTATATTCACCCAATTCTGGTCTGTACTCGTGAGCGGATCTTCTGGTAGCTCCATCTCTTCCTTATGCGTAGTCTGAGATGGCTGTGCTTCATTATCCGTATTGATGGACATTCGGTAACTTGAAGACTCGGATGGCTATTATTCTAGGGAAATTTGACGATTTCTTTACGCACAACTAGAGATTCATTCAAGTATTGTTCGAGGAATCACCAAAGATTCTAATGGGGATGCCAATACGGAAAGGGAATAGACTCTGAGGGATCACATCAGTATCTGAATGCCGGCCCGGGAAGATTTAGGCAAACTCTTGGATAACTATACTAGAGATTGAGGGCTGATGATGGTATCTGCATTTAAACATCCGGTATATGCCGAGATGGCGTCAATTCCAAAAAGTGCCGTTGACCAGGGTGTCTTTGCGGAGACGTGGATTTCCTAATGCGGCAATCTGCAACTGGCCCCATCTTGGGCCTCCGCCTTTTGATCTGTTGTGTTGTGCATCATCAGTTCAGTCAAGCCAAGGGCTTATGAGATTTATATTCACAGCTGTAACGATTTATGTGGCCTTGCCTCTCATGAGAAGATGCCGTAGTTGATATGTAGAGTCTTGTTATGATTCAGTGTGCGTGCATATAGGTGAGGTCCATGCTACGTACATGTACACATGTATGTTGGCTTCTAGTTATTGTTGAGCAACAATGAATATGTTATTGACCTGTCATTGTCCTCTTCCATCGTCTGATCTCTCACGCAGCGTGGCCTTGTTTTGCTCCCACAATCATCTGACCATCAAATAGCCGGGGATTGCACCATCTCCAACCAAAAACATGACCTTGGGTAGCTCTGCAGCCTCTCTTTTGCCTGGCACATGCAGACCTCGCTGCGCTTGTGTCAGCGCTATGGCGATGCTAACGGACCGCTAAGACCGCTAAGCCCGCTAAAGCTTCCCCCCTCCATCTCCGCTGCATGTTACCCGACTCCATCTGCACCTCCACGATATACCATGGCCTATTATCGGCTCTTATCTCGTCCTGTCTGCTTCTCCTCCTCTCACCACCGCTTTTGCTTAGGTCAGGTATTATTATGCACCTCCTCCATCCGTCTACCTTTCCTCTTTACATCTCAGAACCCGGAATAGCCTCATCTCATCTCATTCCATCACCGGCTTGTCCTCGACGAAACACACCCGCTGCCCTGCCGGCCGTTTGGAGGGGCTCAACTCAACTCTATTCACTGCGCCACTAGCTGTTTAGCTCCCTCCATGCAAGAGTAACGCGCGCCATCCTTTTTCTTCCTCTTCCTCTTCCTCTTCCTCTTCCTCCTCCTCCTCCTCCTCCTCCTCCTCCTCCTCCTCGCTCGCCTCTCCCGTGTCGTCGCTGTTCACCCAACGATGCCATCGCATCGTCCCTCGAATCTTCGCCGACACCGTCTCCGAGCACGCTGACGCGATCGACAATGCGATAAGCAACCTCTTCGACCCACCCGCGCGCCATCAATTCCGTCCTTCATCTTTTTGCTCGTCCAACCTTGAATTCTCGCTTTTCGTCCCGTCGCTTCATTCTTCTCGCCAGACCTCGCCTTCCACCGCACCCTGATCAAGATTTTTTTATCTTTATCCTCTCCTCCTCGCCTGTGCCAGCCTTTCCGTAAACCATGTCGTCTTCTCTCGAGGCCAAGATCGTGGTCCTGGGCGCCCAAAACGTGGGCAAGACTTCCCTTGTGATGCGGTACTGCAAAGGCTCTTTCAATCCCGCCCAGACAACGTCCACCGTTGGCGCCAGTTTCCTGACCAAGCGCGTGGTCGACAATGACTCCGACACTGTTGTGCGCCTCCAGATCTGGGACACGGGTATGTGCATTTGCTGCTTTGTATTGCTGTCGTATTTCCCTGTGCATCCCTGCCATTGCTCTGCTGGGCGCTGCCTGGACATCTTCCAGCCCGATGATGACTCTTTTCCCCTGCCAAAATCACGTAATTTTGCATAACATTTTTATGCTGACTCTGACTCTTTTCGTAGCCGGCCAAGAGCGTTTCCGCTCCATATCCCGCTTATACTACCGCGGCGCCAATGCTTGCATCCTCTGCTACAGCATCACCGATGCCCAATCTTTTATCGACATGGGCGAGTGGCTCACCGAGCTACGCCGTAACCTGCCCTCAGACGTCGTCCTACACGTCGTCGGCACAAAGGCCGACATCGTTGCACGCGATCCTTCTCTCCGCCAGGTCCCCTTTGAGCGCTGCATCGCCTACGTCGCCGAGAATCTAGCCCCCGGCCTCGGCAATACGCCGCCCCCGACCGCCACGCCCAGCAACGGTTACTCGTATCCCTCAATGGGCGGCGTCGAACCCCGGAGCCCCAGTTCTAAGCGGAGCTCCGGCTTCTGGGGCCAGGAGGTTGGCTGGGACGCCTGTCACGAAATCAGTGCCGAGAGCGGCGAGGGCGTCGAGGAGGTCTTCCGCGTCGTAGCCCGGAAGCTCGTCGAGCAGAACCGCAAAATGCAGCAGGCCCTTCTCCAAGCGACGGCCACCCCCAACACCCCCGGGTACGAGACCGGTATGGACGGAGGATACTTTGAGGGTATGAATGGCAGGGGGAGCTTCCGCATTGGACGGGACAGGCGGAGCTGGCTGTTTCCTCCGGGGTTTTCTCCCGCTGTGACTATCGACCGAGCTGGATCTACCCAGGAGCAGGACCAGCTAGCCGAGAGTCAGCAGAAACAACGGCGGAGCAGTTGCTGCTAGATGACTGTTCATGATCACTTGGACTCCTACTTATTGCGGCTACTCATTGCTAAATTCGTTGGCTTCGCCGTTCAGAGTTTTTTTTCCCCGGTAACTCTGATGACGACCTTGGAGGTGGTTGTATCATCTCACTTTTACGTCTTTTTCTTTTTTTCTCTATTTGCTCATATGGAAC